AACATGTCATAAGTTATGGGAACCCCATTACGCTGGTTTTCTCTAGCAATCCTCTCACATCTATCCTGATAATCATTCTTCCACATTAAAAAATCCCCCGGGTCAAGACAAGCCTTGGCCAGGAGACTCCAATCATATAAAGTCATGCGCTCAACAGTGATTTGATCAAGTAAACCCAAAGTGTAAGGAGCCGTAGGCCCATATTGCTTATAAGCCTCTTTGATTTTTTTAATGAGCTTAAAATGCATAGGCTTATATTCAATTCTCCCATCAGAAAACATCATGGCAGGGTAGCATCCTGCGGGGGCAAAATGCTCCCCTTGTTCCCTAGCTTGCAAGAAAACTAGCTCCATTGGCGAGTAGGGCATTGGGGCAGAGGAATCTCCCCAAAAAACTCCTTTGCGATTAGGTGGAAAATTTGAAAGAAGGGGCATATTCGAATTTAGCCCAGTAGATGGCGGCAAAGGACCATCAGAAGTGACCTGTGAAATGTTACGCTCCTTTTGCAGTTTTATTTTTGATTTTGTTTCCTTTTCAGAGGGTTCCTCCTTTTCTCTAAGGAGGGTGCGAGCCGGGGGGAAAAGATCATTCCATTTATCTAAGAGTTCCCGATACACCTTGAGCGCATCGGAAGTCACAGGAGGGGGGTCAGGCTCGGAATCCGAGTCAGAAGTCCCTTCTGAACTTGCCTCCTCCTCAGTGGAAGGCATAGGGCAGTCACGATAACCAGACGATGGCCCCAAAGCAGAGAGTGGACAAGGGGGCTTCTCAGGTGGCGAATCATCTGAGGATGCCGGGAGGGCAGTAGCCCTTTCCCTTTCCAGATGGCCGGCTGCCTTTCTGAATGCTTGTGCAAACTGATTGCCCCGAGCAGGCTGGGAGGCAGAAGACGTCTCCCACAGCACTCTAAAAAGAACCTGTAGTGGCTCCTGGAGCTCCAAAAGAGTAGAGCCCTCCAGGAACCAAGGGTCAAGGGCATGTTTTGCCTCTAACTGTTCTTCCCGAGATAGAACCTCAGGTAGTTTAGGCACATCCAGGGCATCTCCAGGAGGAGATTTTTTTTTCACGTGCGGGGGTTTCGAGGGAGTGGCCTCCATTCGGAGCATGGGGCAGATATTACCCTGGATGGAAGAGGGGGAGAGAAAGGTGGAAGGGGGGTGTACAGGGTTAGATCGAGGGTGATTTTGCTCAGGGTAAGTGGAAGGGTCTCCCGGGATGACCTGAGTGTCGACCCACTGAAAAGAGACGGATGGCGAATCCTGGGGCAGATGAGAAGGAGCCAACAAATCAGACCTTTCGCCATCAGGAGTGGACTGATATAACTTAGAATGTATTGTCCCTCCAGTACGGCATACAAAACAGCGCAAATAAGGCACCAAATAGAAAACATATCAGCAAGAACACTCTCCGGACCATGTTCGGAAAGATAACCTGTGAGATCCTCCTTGACTCAATCCCAAGCGTCTACACGCAGAGTACCCTGAGAAGGGAACCAAGGGCTAGTTTGACTGATAAAGGTCAAAAAGCGCCTCAATTGTCCCCCACTAAGTTTAGCACCATTTTCTCTTAACAGAATAGCCAAAGTATTAGAAAACAGAGAAGCCTCCACTGAGGATGTATTTCCCATATTACTCTCAATGAAAAGAAAGAAAACAAATGAAATACGTTTTGCCTGTGGTCTCTCCACAGGGTCTGCTT